GCTACTTGGAAGGCTGAGGCGGAAGATCGCCAGAGCCCAGCAGGTCGAGGCTGCAGTGACCGGGAGCGGCCACTGCACTCCAGTCCGGGCGACAGAGTGAGACTCTAACTCAAAAAAAAAAAAAAAAAAAAAAGAAAGTAAACTAGAGAGAGAGTCACCTCCCCAAGGCAGGGGAGGGGACTAAAGCTAGGAAAACATGGCGGCCATAGCTCAAAGAGCAGATGGCCTGGCCAAGTGCTTAGCAAAACAATGGTGTCTGCTGTTTGAATTTGAATGCTTTTGAACCTTCCCTTTGATGGGGGCAGGTCATTAAGGTGATTGGGTGGTGGTCTGCTTCACGTTATCACATCATCACAGAGGGGACAGGTAAGCACAGGTACTGACATCAGGTGATGGACAGCAGACAGATGGGTGGGCTAGTCACATAACTTCTGCCATGGTGATGGGGTCTGTGTCATGAAGGTCACAAGGGCGTGTTTTTACAAAACAGACTGGGGAGGGGATTGTAAAACAATCATCAATAGCTATCTCTGAGAAGCCAGTTCTATCCTTGGCTTGTGATTAGAGGACAAATTAAAGTGAACTGCTAGGAAAACATGACAAAACTAAGCAGTGTTAAATTGGCTGCTCATTGGCTATATTGACTTATGTCCTTTCACTCTGGTTATACCACTCTGAGGCAAAAGAATTATGTTAATTTCATTAAGATGCTGCATTTCAAACTTTAGAAAGTGATGTTTTATTTCACATTGAGTTCACATTGCAATTACACAGACCAGGCAAGCTGTTTTGAAGCTTATTAGGTCTCTAACCCTGATTCCCTGAAGCAATGTGACATTGACTTAAAAGTTAAAAAAATTATTCAAGTTACACAGGATCATTGTGGAAAATGGGACTATTAAGATAAATAGAAATAAATTAAATTCACCTGGAATCTGACACACAGAGAAAATTAATGTTAACCATGGTCCAAACTGCTATCTCTCTTCTTAAGGGACTTCAGCATTAGCTTCTTTTTTTTTTTTTTTTGAGTTGAAGTCTTACTCTGATGCCTAGAATGGAGGGCAATGACACACTCATGTCTACCCCAGTCTCAACCTGCTGGGCTCAGGTGATCCTTCTGCCTCAGCCTTTCAAGTAGCTGAAACTACAGGTATGTGCCACCACGCCCAGCTAATTTTTTGATTTATTGTTGAGACAAGGTCTCACTAAGTTACCCGGGTTGGTCTCGAACCTGTTGGATTCAGGCAGTCCTCTTGCCTCGGCCTCCCAAAGTGCTGGGATAACAGGCTTAAACCACCACACCCGGCCAGCATTAGCTTCTTAACTGGTCTTCCTGTTTCTAGTTTTACCCTCTGCTGTCTCCATCCTCCATCTTCCACTCTGCAGCCAGAGTCTCACTCTTTTTGAGTCAGAGTCTCACTGTTCTCCAGGCTCTAGAGGTCATGGCACAATCGTGGCTCACCACAGCCTTGACCTCTGGGGCTCAGGTGATCCTTTTGCCTCAGCCTCCCAAGTAGCTAGGACTACAGATGCGTGCCTCCCACACTTGGCTAATGTTTTGATTTTTTTGGAGATAGAAGGTCTCAGTCTGTTGCCAAGGCTGGTCTTGAACTCCTGGGCTCAAGCAATCGTCCCACCTTCACCTCCTAAAGTGCTGGGATTACAGATGTGAACCACCGTACCCGGCCAGATTTATTTTTTTGAGTTGAGGTCTCACTCTGTTACCCATGCTGGAGTGCAGTGGTGCAGTCATGGCTTACTGCAGACTTGATCTCCTGGAGTCAGGTCATCCTTCTGCCTCAGCCTCCCAGGTAGCTAGGACTACATGTGCATGCTGAGGCCCCCACCTAAAATGGCGCTCCCGCCTAAGAAGGCGCCCAGACAAACTAACATGGAGGCTCGGACAAGGCTCTCCGGGTTCTTCTTCCACAACAAAGCCCACCGTTCCTGCGCCCGCGAAACCCCCTGCCAATCCCAAAAATACCTCACCTGCCGACCAATAGGTAACCGACAGGTCGCTTTAAATTTCTATAAAACCTGCCACACCCCTGCCTCCATGCTGCAATCTGATTCTCAGGTTCTGTAGCCACCGCGCTCATCCCCATTAAATCTCTTGGCCTTAAAGGGTGTTGAGTCTCACTGCACGCCACTGTCTTTCACATGCCACCATGCTTGGCTAATTTAAAAAAATATTTTTGTAGAAATGAGGTCTCTCTGTGCTGTCTGGGCTAGTCTCAAACTCCTGGGCTCAAGCAATCCTTCTCTCTTTAGTCTCCCAAAATGCTGGGATTACAGGTGTGAGCTACTGAAACTGGCCTTAGACTTATTTTTAAAACCGATTTTTAATGAAAAATTTAAGCCTGTGCAAGGGTAGAGACTAGTATAAGGATTGATAAAACCCATGAACCTATTACTGAGCTTAAAATCTCTGTCAATTTCTTTGTTTGAAAACCCAGTTCTTCTCCTCAAACTTAGTCACTGGTTACCGGTTTCTAGTGAATCCTTCAGGAAATTAAAAAAAAAAAAAAAAGGCTTTGCAGACGCCGCCGCCTTGAGCCTTTTCCCATCAGCCATGGTCAACCCCACC